CCACCACGAGGCTGAGTGCCTACTGCATGCAGGCTCTGCGCGTAGCTACAGCCGCGAAGACAACAAGCCTCTGGGCCGCGCGACTGCCGGGAGAGCGACTGTAAACAGAAGTAGGGGACTATGTCAGACAGGCTGGATGCTGGGAGGATGGGAGAGCTGGAGAAGGCAGGTGGCGATTTTAAATAGCTCCGGCTTCGATTCCATTCCAGATTCTAAAATCAAGTTCTAGGTCCTAGAGGAAGGTGGACAGTACACCTATCAGCAAACAAACATGCAGAACGAGTGGGCAGGTGGGTGGCTGCTGCTGAGGCCAGGTGAGGCGCAGTGAAGACTCAGAGCTTGCATGGCCTGTTCAGTCACTCACCCATTCATGCTAGCCTGGACAGCTGCTTCTGGAGAGCTAAGTGTCAGGCTCAACCAAGGGATCCGCTGCCCCTGCCTCACTCTGTGCAGGGGGGCGGGCAGACTGTATCAGCCCGTCTCGGAGTGACTGTGGGGTGGGAAGGCTTGCATGCAGAAGGGGCCAGGCTTTCCTCCAGTCGGCCACCCTTGGGCCCTGACCGGTCTTTGCTGGTTTGCTTTCTCACATACATATATCTGTTGCATGGTATTAAGGTGGCGGAGATGCAGAAGAGAGCCTTGCCCCGGAGGGGGAAACTTAATGAGACTTGGTGCTCTGAGATCAGGCCCTTCTCCTCTCCACTCTGGGCTTCATTCCCATTGCATCACGCAGAACTGTTTGTAAAAACCCATCTACTCTCGTCAGTTCCAGCACCATGACGCAGCCCAAGCTGCCACTGCCTTCTATCCCTGTGACCTCTGCTCTGAGCTCCCCCATCCCTCCTGAGCCTCCCACAGGTCACGATGATAGCCACGGCTGTCAGAATGAATCTTCCATTCCCTGAACTCAATGTGGTTGTCACTGGAGTAAAGCCTTCCCAGGGCTTTTCCTTGCTCTGGCCTGATAGATCTGGTTCAGTCCCCTCCCTCTTCTCAGCCTGCCCACCGTTGAAGCAAGACAAGCAAATAAACACTTTTTTTTTTTAATGAGAGGGTTTCAGCTAATCATGAGTGCAAACAGGAAATCATGAGTGTGATAGGGAGGGGTGGGCTGTTCTGAGAGCTGTTTTTTTGAAGGGGGGTCAGGGAGGGCCTCTCAGAGGTGGAAGAAGACTCCACAGGTAAGAAAGGAGTCAGCAATGGGGAGGTAAGAGGAGTTCCAGGTAGTGTATCCTGGTTAGAGGGCAAGGGCAAATGAGGACTAGCCACAAGCCTCCCTGGACACAACAAAATCAGCATAGAAAATACAAGACTTGCTTTCCTTCCTTGCTGTGCTGTGTGTGTGTGTGTGTGTGTGTGTGTGTGTGTGTGTGTGTATCTGTGTGTGCTACAAATTAAAATTACCTGAGCAGGAAGCCTCACTTGAGGAATTGTCTTAATTTTCTTAATTGGGGGCACCTCCCCAAATGTGGGCAGCACCTACTGGTAAAGAGCCCAGATTAAAGGGCGTGGAAGAAGGAAGATCGCTCGACTTTGGTTGGCTTGGCCTTGCCTCTTGCTGCAGAGCTGATTACTGCTGCTGCTGTTGCTGATGATAAGTCCTCACTGGTATTGGACCAGTGACTTCAGGCTTCTATCCCGGACTAAGGGCCATCAAGGCTCCGGGAATATTTACATTTTCAGTGCCAGCTTGGTACTGCTTGAGGCACATCAAGGACCAAGAAACTACCAGATTCTCAGCTTCATGGTGTTGGGACTATTTCAGAGTAAGCTGATTAAATACATTCTTTAACATACTTGATATATAAAATGTTTTCTATTTTAATATATAAAATGTGCATCCTATTGGTTCTGTTTCTCTAGAATAGCACAGGTGTGTGTGCACATAGGTGTGTGTGTATGCGTGTGCACATGTGAGAGTGTGTGTGCGTTTGGAGGCCAGAGGTCAACCTTGGGTATCTTCCGTGAGTGCCATCCACCATTTTTATTTTTATTCGTTTGTTAAGAGGTGGCTTCTCTCATTGTCTGGGAACTCACCAAATAGACTAGGCTGGCCTGTCTTTGCTGCCCCAGCCTTGGGATTGTAAACATACACGTCAATACCTGTTTGTTCGTTCGTTTGCATGGGTGCTGGAGATTGAACTCAGGTCCCGGTACTTGTGAGGCGAGTACTCACCCCAGGCCCCCTCACTTCTTCACTCCTAACCCTCCCTCTTCCCCTGAGGCTGCACCCCACTTCATAGGCAGCACTTGCTACCTGTTTTGTGGAGCTTATGTTGTTGTTTTTTTCGGTGTGAGACCGTGAAAAAATGGTGTTTTGTGTGTATGCCTCAACTCATACTTTTTTGTTCATATTTCTTTTGTTTTGCCTTTTTCCCCCCAGAAAATATTTCAATATGTACCCCAGTCTGGATTTGAACTCACGATGGTCTGTCTTATCCTCGTGAGTGGTTTGGGATTACAGATTTATCTGTCTGTGCCATCAGGCTTGCTTCAGCTTACCCATACACTCCATGCTGTGACTCTAATGTTCTTATCTTCCGGAGATCTACTCACTTTGACTCCGCCGGTCCTCCCAATGTGTGTCCCTTCTTCACTGTCGACTCCCTCAAAGTCACTTGTAGTCCTATGCTCCATGGACTCATAAGAGCACCCTCTCACACCTACTCACAGACCAGGTTGGCCTTGAACTCGGTTACATAGCCAAGATGAGTTTGGATTTCTGATCCTCCTGCCTTCACCTCCTGAGTGCTGAGCTTCCAGGCGTGCACCACCACACCTGATTGACACAGCACCAGAGATGAGCCCAGTGCTCAGTGCATTCTAGGCCAGTGCTCTGTCAACTGAGCCTCACCCCCAGCCCTGATGCAGTGACTTTGTAAACATGCTTACCGAGGCTTTGGAACAGTATGTCCCAGGGTGTGTATACTCTTGACTAAGTGCACCCAGACTCCACTGCCTCTGGTGGCATCTCCTCTAAAGTGCTGGGAGTCCTTGGGTCTCCATTAGCTTTTATCCAGAATGTGGAGCGGTGAATGTCTAGTGTGTGCCAAGAGACAGCTCAGTGCATTCAAATGTCCCTTTCATTGACTATTGATGAATCCTAGGTGCTTCATATGCTTTGGAGTTTTTTTTTCTTGTGTGTGTCTGTGTGTGTCTGTGTGTGTGTGTGTGTGTCTGTGGGTGCGCGCGCACGCTTTTGAACTATTGTCATGGTGATGGTGACTGTTGTAGTTTTTATTGTTATGGCTATTGTTATGGGTACAGTTATTTATGGTTGTTGAGTAGTGCTGTTGTTATAGTTGTGGTGGTGGTAGCTATTGTTGTAGCTGTTATGGTTGGGAGCTGTTGCTATGGTTATTATGATTGTGGTTGTTTGTGGTTGTTGTAGTGACTGTCATGGTTATGTTGTTTCATTTGTGGTTGTAGCTGTTCTGTTTGAGAGGTTCTATTTGATTGTTGTGTAATTGTAGTTTTTGCCATGGTTGCTGTTATGGTTATAGTTGTTATTATAGTTTGCGATAATTGCTTGTTGTTATGATTATGGTTATTATAGTTGGTGGTTGTTACAATGGCTGTGGTTGTTACCATGGTAGCTGTTATGTTTCTGCTTTTTATTGTGACTGGTGATTGTTGATATGTTTGTGGTTGTTATTATGTCTGATGATTATTGATGTGGTTGTAATGATTGCAGTTATTATAGTTCATACTTGTTACTATGTTTGTGGTTGTTATCATGGGTGGTGAGTGTTGCTTTGGTTGTTGTTATGGTTGTGGTTGCTATTATGGCTGATAATTGTTGATGTGGTTGTTGTTATGTTTGTGGGTGTTATTATGGCTGGTAATTGTTTTTTTGTTTTTGTTTTTGTTTTTTAAGACAGGGTTTCTCTGTGTAGCTTTGGAGCCTATCCTGGCAGTCGCTCTGGAGACCAGGCTGGCCTCGAACTCACAGAGATCCGCCTGCCTCTGCCTCCCAAGTGCTGGGATTAAAGGCATGCACCACCAATGCCCAGTGGCTGGTAATTGTTGATGTGGCTGTTGTTATGGTTGTGCCTGTTATTATGGGTTGTGTTGTTGCTGTGGCTCTTGTTATGATTGTGCCTGTTTAGTAGCTATTGTCATGCTTGTTATTGTAGTTGTTGAATTACAGGATTCCTTTATATGATCTGGACGCCTGGTTGCTAAGTCCCTTGTTGATTTTGGATGTTATAAACATCTTCTGTTCTGTCACCTGCACATTAGTTTTTTGCTTGTGGTATCTTGTTTCCAGAACATTATTTGAGGGGCCTGTGAGATGGCTTAGCAATGCTTGTTCCTAAACCTGACAACCCTCCTTCTGCCTCAGACTCCTGATTAGCTGGGATGACAGACCTGAGCCACCAGGCTTAGTTGTGTGTGGTTTTCTGGAAACTATCCTTGGGGCAAGCCACTTTCCCACACTTGTCTGAGGGGTTGCCTTTGCCATCTGCAGCCCCTCAGGCTCACTGCCTGCCCGTCTGGTCTTTGTGTCCCCCTGCTTACATGACCCTGGCCTGAGTAGCATGGGGTTCTGCATGCTGAGTTCGTGAGGCCTCTCTGCTCTTGTTTTAGGGTGAGTTTATCTACTCTCCTCTTTTGGTGAGTCCTGGGGTGACAGTCATGTGACCCAGGCTGTCATTTCATATTCTCTAGCACCAGCCTGCCGTCAGCTCCGATCCAGAGCTCCCATCTGCCCAGGGGACTCTTCAAAACCACAGTCTCTAGGAAAAAACCTGCCTTGAAAGCCCAGGAAAGCGCTTCTCCCCCAAAAGGAGGCAGATGTTTCATTGTTTATCCCAGAGGACATGTGACAACATCCGCACAGAGGTTTGGTTATCACAACTCTGGGGGAGGGGATGCCTTCCCGGTGTCTCGTTGGTGAAGGCAAGGGGATGCTGCTAAACATGCCGTGCACACGCACGACGCAAGATGTTCTGCACCTTGGCAATACAAGGTGTCTGGTGCCCTGAGAGTCAATCGTGCTAAGCCCGAGAAACCTCTCAGAAGGCAAAGGTGTTTCCCAACCTAGAACTGCTCTCAGTCAACAGTGACAGCTCCTTTGTGACACACTGAAGATACAGGGCAGGAAAACAGATGCCTCTCAATACCTATATAGTTAATAAACATCCAAGCCAACCAGTCAGAGCAGTCAGCTGTAATAAGTACAGTAATGAAAAGCAACCAGGAGGGAGGGAGTGAGGCGCATGACTGAAGGAGGCGTCAGCAGTGTTGGGTGGGGAGGTCCAGCGAGGCTTCCTGGGGAGGTGGTTACAAGGAAACTGAGTATCGGGGAGACATCGGCCTTGTGCATGCTGAGGAAGGAGGAGTCCCAAGAGCCCAGGCCCTGTGTATGG